AAAAAAAAAAAAAAAAAGAAGCATGTCTGGACCCACACTGTCCTTCCATGATGGACAGCCGGCCAGGCCACTACACCTTGGGGCTCTCCCTCTGCAGTGCTGTGGATCTGCTGGGCATTTGCCTTCTGTTTGCGGATGAGACTACTGAGTAAGAACAGTGCGGCCTCTACATGGAAAACCAGGTTATAATCTGATTATTTAGTGAGTATGGACTCTGGGCAAGAGGAAGAGGACAGCATTACCAATGCCCATCTTCCCCCATGGTCAGTACAGCCTGTGGGCCTGGCCAGGCACCGGGTCAGTATCACCAACCACCTACAGCTTTATGCCAGCCTGACTCTGGGAAAGTGACTTTAGCTCCCTGCTCATGGGTTTTGCTGATTATTTAAACATAAATCGCTTTATTTTAAAGTTCTCCTGAGACTTTGTTTCTACCTACTAACCTCAATACACAATAATCCTATTAGGATGCCCCTCCCAAACTGTTATCAGCACCTACACAAGTTTACCAAAATTTACTTGAGTGGCATGACCTTAATCCTTCTGTGGACTGGGGATTTTTAATCAAAGGTTTCTTCTTCCACTTTCTTGGTAAGTAATTCCCAGCCACACACCTGTCACCCAGAGGGACTGGCCACCTCCCCCTACAGCTGGGGCTGCACCTGAGGAAAAGCACCAGGCATGAAGGCTGTCACGGACCACCCAGAGGTCACTGGCATCACTGACCCCATGTACCCTATTCATGTCCAGTCATTCACTCCATAAATGAGCATGGGGCATACAAGCCCAGTGGGCAGGCATTGTCCTCGGTGCTAGGATGCTGTAGGGAACTGGACAGGTCCCACCCTCAAAGGCTTATGTTCTGGACACATGTTCAGATAAACAGACAAGATGACATCAGGTTCTGACATGTGTCACGAGGAAAATAAACTGGCTAATGAGACAGCAAGTGCCCAGGCCTTCTAGGGTCTGACAAGTCAGACAGTATCATGTTGAGATGTAAACAACAGGAAAAAAGGCCGTGAGACCCCGGGGGACAGAGGGCTCTAGCAGAAGTATATGTTTATCAGAAAGGAGGCCAAAGTGGGCAGTAATAAGGAAGAGGACAGGAGGTGAGATGGAGGGCCCAATCTTGGAGGGGCCAATTCTGGAGAGCCCTGAGAGGTGGGGGGTGGGGAGGGCGCAGGGAGAGGACTCAGCCACACCAAGCTGCTGCAGACCAGGAGCCCACATCCAAGTGACTGGGATGGGAGACTGTTCCTCCTGACCCATGGAGCACTAGGTGGCAGTTGGAGAAAAGGCCTCTGGGTCCAAATTCCCAGGAATGGGGCTGTATAGTTCATAATGGGAAGACTAAGGGATTTTTGAAGGAAGTTTCCTATTCCCAGTTTCCATTTTGTACACCAAATGATACAACTTAGTACAAAGTGAAGAGTTTCAAGTAGATTTACCTAAGGTTAAATGCAGCAGTGGTAATCAAGATTTACTTACAGAACATGGCATCAGCTGTCATTATTAAATACTGACCAAACAGGTGTTACTGTTCTTCATAACGGTTACATGAAACTAGCCCTTAACTGAAGTCTCACCACTCTGTAAAGGTTAGGGAGCCCAAGTACTGAGGCATGGATGAACCCTGGAGAGAGCGCTCTACATTGGACTTTCTGCTAATTCTAAGGTCAAATTGGAGCATACTACTGCACCCTAAACTGTGTTGAGGACATCCCAGGAACAGAAGTGTGTGTGTTTAAGATTGCATGTGATCGCACATTTCTTTGTGAAAATGCATATTTAGGAGTCTGGAAGAATATCTACCAAGTGGCATCAGTAAGTATCCTTAGAGAGTGGGCAAACAGGCAATTCTGACTTACATCTTTGTGATTTTTATTTAACTGTGTTTTTGTTTACATCAAGAATTTATTGTTATTTGCCATTGGAAAAAAATTTTTCACTTTTCAAAGATACACAACAATAAAAATTTAAGACATCAGGCTCAGCGCTCATAGCACAGTGGTTAAGTGTAAAATTTTTCACTTTTCAAAGATACACAACAATAAAAAATTAAGACATCAGGTTCAGCACTCATAGCACAGTGGTTAAGTATTGCACCAGCCACAACCGTTTGAAGTTGGTGGGTTCAAACCTGGCCCAGGCCAGCTAAACAACAATGACAACTGCAACAAAAAA